GGCCATATTCAGTCCTGTGCAACCTGACCTGACCTGACCTGACCTGAACTGAACTGAAGTGAACTCAGCGCAGCGCTAAATTTAACACTGCGGATCTTCATCGACGTGGCCTTGAGGTCTGTTGGAACTTCTCTGCGTCGTTTTCTTTTGTGGTAAATGTTAATGGCTGTTTTTAGGTACGTAATAACCATACCAGAGAGGTATTATGTACTTTCAATCTTTTGCGTGGAATATTTAAGTTTCCATTCATGCAAATTCGAACATGTAAGAATAGTAAAATGCAATTTTTGATTCGCAGTTTTGTCTAGTTCAAGTGTTAAATACCAATGGAGAGGTAAGAATCTCTCAGAATTGAAGTAAAAGTGATTGATTTGCTTATAAAAAAATAGTAATCCAAAACAAGAATAAAAATAATCGTTACAACGGTCTTGTAATTCTCTGTATTTAAGGGAGCTACGCAGGATGTTTCTCATTAAGCCGTAGATGTAATCAAGCCCGGAAAATTGTAGGGTGTACGAAAAACGTTATCTTCTGTTCTCCATGTTAGCGGTTAGATTCAAGGTTGGATCTCAGTCGTTTAAAAACGGAGTTATAGCCGATCCAAGTTAGTACATGCTCAGTTCAGTCCTTTCTTCCCGGTCCTCGCAGTGTAGTCCCTTTAAGAACCAGAGGTTTTTTGTAGTTAATTGCTTTCAGAGCCTGTCTCTACATTTTGCGTTAAACCCATGGTTATTCTGGCCCTTCGCTTTACCCGCCCGGCGAAACTACAAGTGTTAGGTTACTCCAGTTATGTGCAGTTCATCAGTTGTAAGGTAGGTCGTCGCATATTTGATAATGATTCGATAGAGAAATTTTTGTCCCATCGTATTCAGATTGGTCGGCTTCCCTGGTTAGGACTCTTAATGCGCATGCCCATCTATCGTCTACCGCACCGCACCTTATTCACAGATTCCGCTCCTAATTGGAACAAACCACGTCGAGGTCAAAACAGGACGTGGAAACGAGGCATAATAAAAATGTACTAAGCGATTGGTCGTCATTATTGTACAGTGAGATACAGTGAAGCGAACTTCACTGATCGCTGCCAAACTCGCAATGCATGCTAGGTTAGTGTTAAAGTTTAAGGTGGACAGCGGTTGGATCTACTTTGAGGGAGTGAGAAAGACGTGAATCACTGTAGTCAACACAGTGCAAAATCAAACTCTGCATACATACCGTTTTAAGTGTTCTGACCTGATAAGAAATGCCAACAAGAACGACTGCTGTCGATTTGCTGCCATATCCTTCAAAGTCTAACCAACCGATTATGTTATCTTTCGGACCCCAAGTTGGAAGACGAAAGACCTCTACTGTGCGATTAGGTAGGGTAGGTGTCTTCCACCTTTCAGGTTGGGGTCCAAAAGACTGAAACCGTTTGGTTGGAGACTGGAGGGTATGACAGTGAACCGACAACAGTGGCGTTCTTGTTGCCATTTCTTATCCGATCAGAATGCTTAAAAGGTATGTACGCATAGTTAGATTGTGTGTGTACTTTGTGTTGACCATAGATCTTCAGTTTCTTTTCCACCTAATTCCTCTCCATTTTGTACTTCATCACTTAATTTGTGTACATTGTAAGCTTCTCAGCGACCAGAGAAGTTCGCTTTACTGTATCTCGTTGTACAATGATGATGTTCTTTTGTGGCATCAACTTTCGACAGCCCTCAGGACCACAACATGGTGTTCCATTTCAGCGGGTAGGGTGACTCACATCGACCACATGGTTGTTAAATAACGTTTGCGTGGTTCGCGGATCCTATTGATTCACCTTCGTCGGATGCACTTCACGCTTCGACTCATCGGTCAGCGGCAAAAGATGCCTCACCAGTCGGCCCATCATCGTCTACTCGATCCAGCGACTTAGGCACTTTATGAGGAGAAGCTTGCACTAGACCTAGAAGCACATGGACTTGGCGGAGTAGATCCAAAATAGGGTATGGATATACTTGCAATGCAGTCGGCAGAAATCTTATCTTTTGTGGAACTAGACCCGAACTTCACCAAGTATATTGGATATCTTACTTGTCAGTAGTCCTAATGAAACAAAAGCGAAAGTTCCTGCTAGAGTGAACGAAGAAGCAGATGGTGGCTGCAACGTCAGTTCAGAAAAAGCTTGAAGAACGTGCAATTTCGCGACCAAAATAACCATTGAACTGTAAGCAGNNNAAGCAGCCTTTGAGTCATGACGTAGCCAAAGCTTTTCACCTGATACATAGCGCCAGTTGTCGTCGCATACCATTCAAAGAAACTATATGTAATGGAGGTGAACAGGGCATATACAACAAGAAGCTGCATTTCTTCAGTTGGGCAGAGTATTTCGGCGAATAGTCCAGCTGGTCTGGGGATAACGTGCTACATTCTGGCTACTTCAGCTGAAACTCTGGACGAAAACAGGTGAGCCCCTCCAGATCTAGAACCATGATGTGATATTTAATCGTTCAAGAAAAAAACCAGCCCGGTACAACGTGCTTTACTGTATTATTTACAGGATTCTGTTTGTGTATCGATATCATCGACTCCGCTGTTACTTTACTATGTAACATCTCCATCACGACGAGATTGCATCTTGACGTGGTGTGATGGCTTGCGTGCCTCCATGACCGTGCGAGCTACACAGGATGGCTTTCCACAGCCGTAGATCCAATCATGCCCAAAAGGTCAACGGGTAGAGGTCAGACGAAGAGCAGTCTCACAAGTCCAGCTGCCTGGGCACCTGGCTTCCCTTGACTATCCACTCCAGCCCCTGGAGAGGCCACTCCAGCAAATAAATACGGTGAGGGACAATTTACCGATCAAAACAAAACCGCTAGACGGACGTAGGAGCGGGGTACCTGGGGATTTCTCTTGACGGTGGGAAAAGTCTTCGCACTTCATTGGACAGCTACCGCCCGCCCAAGCTGCGCAGCCCCCAGCCAATAAGGTGCTGTCTCATCCACGTTCCGCTTGTTTCATGGGGTGCATGAGGCTAAGGGCCGATCCCGAACAGCGGACCGATAATCAACGCATCAGCGAACAACACAACTAATCAAAATTCAAAGGCCTTGCGTGACAGGTCTCCAGGAGCTCCCACATGGGTGCTTTGTTCACGCTCCCGTGTTGGATTTACGCCCCACTGCCTTGTGGATCAGACTTTAGAGTCAAAGGCTTCGGTTAGCGTTCCCAAAGAAAAACCGCCTCGTCGGTGTGGGCTACCGCAACAATTGCGACACTGACGTCTATTCTGAGCCCTATCTCCCAGCGTCTCTAGCCATTGGTAATCCTCATCCCTTGGGGCCCAGCCTGGAAGGTGAGCTGCACCAACCGAAGCCAATGCTGAGGACGAAGTTCGTGATTGGCAGAAACAGTCCGTGGTCGACACAGATTTGAAGTAGGCGATCGCCGTTGTCCGTCCGGTTGGCTGGGATTGCATGTGGTCCACCAAGAAACCTCTCTGATTCGTCTGGGAGCCCACTTGAGCATTGAAGTCTCTGGTGATTATCACGATGTCCAATGAAGTGCGAAGACTTTTCCCACCATCAAGAGAAAGCCCCAGGTATCCCGCTGCTACGTCCATCTAGCGGTTTTATTTTGACCGTATTTGCTGGAGTGGCCTCTCCAGGGGCTGGAGTGGATAGTCAAGGGAAGCCAGGTGCCCAGGCAGCTGGACTTGTGAGACTGCTCTTCGTCTGACCTCTACCCGTTGACCTTTTGGGCATGATTGGATCTACGGCTGTGGAAAGCCATCCTATGTAGCTCGCACGGTCATGGAGGCACGCAAGCCATCACACTACGTCAAGGTGCAGTCTCGTGATGGCAATAAAGAACTAGAAATACCAAAAGTTTAGATCGAGAAGCTTTATTGTCTTAGGGATTTTTCTCTCAAACAACCTTTTGTTCGGGCCATAAAATGTGACGACCGATTAAATGATGCTGTAGGCTATAATTTTGTTTTTGCTTTTAGTTATTGGTTGGTTTTGATTGTCCTCGTGTCAAGTTATTTTTAAGTTATTGTACTCGATCCTCTATTTTGTGAATAGACTCTTACATTTACTAGAAAAATCTAGCATCTACAATCATCACGATTTATTTTTACGTGCCTCATCTTTCTGTTAATCGACGTTATCTGCTCTTTTTCACTTTTTATTCAGTCATGGCTGCTGATCAAGTTTGTTTTACACTGATTGGTTTGTCCCCAGAAGCCAAGTCGTCTTCAGAACAACAACTAAAAGATGATCTTCAGAGCAACAATGTAGATGTTAAACGTGAAGCCCTTAAAGAGGTGATTCGGCTTATCGTGAATGGGGAGCGTTTCTCAAATCTATTGATGACTGTCATAAGATTTGTAATGCCGTCACAAGATCATATGATCAAGAAGCTTTTGCTGTTGTTTTGGGAAGTCGTACCCAAATACGGCCCGGACGGAAAACTATTGCAGGAAATGATTCTTGTCTGTGATGCTTACCGCAAAGACTTGCAGCATCCAAATGAATTTATTCGGGGTTCGACTTTGCGATTCTTATGCAAACTAAAGGAACCGGAATTACTTGAGCCCCTGATGCCAGCCATTCAACAGTGCCTAGAGCATAGACATGCTTATGTCAGGCGAAATGCAGTTTTGGCGATATTTACTATTTACAAAAACTTCGAACATCTTATCCCGGATGCACCAGAAAAGATGCTACGGTTTTTGGAGCAGGAACAGGATGCTTCTTGCAAACGGAACGCCTTTATGATGTTACTGCATGTTAGCCAAAGCAGTGCCCTAGAGTACCTAGTTTCCCGATTGGACCAAGTGCATAACTTCGGAGACATTTTGCAGTTAATCATCGTTGAGCTGATCTATAAGGTATGTTTTGTATTACAACGCTAACACAATCTTGTTTATTAGGTTTGTCACGCCAAACCTTCCGAACGACTGCGCTTTATTCGTTGTATCTACACGCTTTTACAATCTAGTAGTCCAGCAGTTAGATACGAAGCAGCTGGTACGCTGATCACTCTGAGCTCAGCTCCATCGGCTTTGAAAGCGGCTGCGAGCTGCTACATCAATTTAATCCTCAAAGAAAGTGATAACAACGTAAAGCTTATTGTTCTTTCTCGTCTGAAGGACCTTCGGCGCTACCATGAGCGAATTCTTCAAGATCTAGTTATGGATATCGTTCAAATTCTCGGTTAGTTATTTTTCCTCCTTTTACATTGAAATGTAATCTTTTTCTTTATAGCTGCCTCTGATATGGAAATTCGTCAACAGACATTAGATCTTACAATGGATTTAGTGACATTGCGCACAGCAGACGAGCTTGTCAAACTTTATAAAAAAGAATTACTGAAAGCTTGCACTGGTACCGATCGCGCAGCTGCGTCAGTAACTGCTGCATCCACCAGTGGAGATAAGGCTAATAATACAGGGGGTAATTCAGATGAAGCTAACTATCGATATGCCCTGGTTCACACTATCTATGACATATCAATCCGCTTCCCGGAAACCCTTGGAAATATCGTACCGACTATCTGTGATGTGAGTGCATTTTGGCATCGAAATCGTACTATCGCATCTATACTATTTTATTACCAAATAATTTTAACTGTTTTACATTTACTTTCGTACAGCACTTTCGGTTATATTGGTTTTACACGGATTTCTTGTTTCTATCAGAATATTGTCTTCATGCTCCTTTAGCGGTGTAATGCTTCCTGAGTTTTGATTTAGCTTCTCGTAAACGGTGGAACAGTTTATCGCTATTAATTTTCTATTGCATTTTACTTTTATGTCTGTCTGAGAGAGTGAATAATCGCGTCTGTTAGGTATCATGCGTGCTTAGCTACTCTATTTCTAATGTGTTTCAGGATATCGCGTCATAGTAGAGATAAACCCGCTAGTTCCAACGCCTGTTGTATGCTTACAGGTCCTGACATCCACAATGTTATTGCTTGAACTGACACGTCATACAAGTTTCCATTAGTGAAGGTGCTATGTTTCGTTAAGCAGTGACTTCTCATCAATCAATGGTGTACTATTAAAATATGTCACTATCTTTCACTTCATAGATATTAATTTTTACAAAATCCGTAAGATGCTGGTTGTTTTGAACAATTCAGTTTGCTGTTGGTTTGTTCTAGTTTCCATTGTTTACGAACGATATACTCAGCTGTGTAACTAGAATTGCCTTATTCTTTTGTCGCCAGTTTATTTTGTTTTGGATAGCAAGAAATGAAGGTTAAAATGAATGTACACAGTTTTTCTCGCTATTTTACGTAACAGATTTTGACGTATGAAGAAATTGGTGATTCCAAGGCTGCAGTTGAAGCTTGTCGATTTATCCGAGAAGTACTGCATCGATTCCCGCAGCGAAAGTCCGAGGTATTGGAGAAGTTGATGCAAGTTTTTCCCAGTATTGCCGGCCAGGAAACATTGCGATACGTTCTTTGGATATTTGGTGAATTCTGTACAACGCTGGAAGAGATTAACACATGCATCACTCTTATTCGGCAGGTTAGTCATTTTATGTACGTTTTTTCATCTAGAATAAAAGTGCTGTCAAAGCAAACGTTATTCTGATTGATTGATGTGTTCTTCAAGCATTCTAGCATCTCATTTGGTGATAGAGTGATCCGTGCTTCTTCTCTTGCACGTATCATGCGGCCCGTTTCAGGTCATCGGAGATCTTTCGTTGGTGGATGAGGAGCTCCGGAGGCGCTCGAGAGAATCGGGTGACGGTACCCCGGAAGACATATCCGCGTTACTCTCCTCAGATGTTGGACCCGGACCAAGCCCAGCGCAACGCGTTACGGCCGATGGTACATACGTAACACAAACGGCACTTACTTCCAGTGAGTTTATTGAAATTTATCGGTTTACAGGCCTGACTATAAATTACGCACACAAAATTCTAAGAGCAAATGCTTTCGCCTGTCGTTCTTGTTTACTGTCTTGATGAAGTTGGGGAATTTACTTCGAGTTACTCAGATTGGCTTGATCCATAAATTCCTCTTAGGAACGTGCGTCATATACTAATCTTGTCTTCGTCCTCTCGCAGTCGCCTAGTTTCCTTCTCGATGTTTATAGTCTCTGGTACTCAAATCCCCTTGTTTCTCATCTTACTGCAATCATCTCTTCGGAATTTCCATCCTAAAGTAGCTACTAATTCACACTTGTTTATTTCTGTTACTATTCAATCGTATTAGTAATAGTATTCTAATAGTATTCTCACAACGCACTGACAAAAAAGTGTAGCTGGATTTCAACGACTGAGGTCTCCGATATCTGTCTTCTAGGTTGTGGTCCAAAAGACTCTGTAGTTAGTTAATTGGAGACACTGACGGGCATGTTAACGAACCGACAGCACTAGCATTCTGGTATTCACTTCTTATCAGACCGAAAGGCTCGAAAAGGTGTGTATGCACGGTGAGATCATGTATCCAGTTTGTCTATTTCCCTCCTCCTTCAAAACGGGCTTTGTCCCTGTACACCTTAATCATACTTTGCAAATATCGTGAGCTTGGCAGCGACCAGCGAAGTTCACTGTACGATAGTGATTATATCATGGGTGACAGCATATGTACTAAGCGAGTTTGGCGAATGTTGTTAGGTGTGCCCACGATCAGAACGGGCCGGTCTACCACCTGTTTTCTTTCATCCCGATTCCCGTAAAAATCTGAATAATAATGTTCACTGGCATGGACGAAAATTCTTGATAACAAGTTTGTTCACTGTTTTCACTTTATCAGTGGTAGTGGTGGTGGTGACGCAGTGGTTTCGTCACTGTCACCGGCGGGCTTTGGACCCCATGGTCCTAGATTCGAGCTCCGCCACCGCCACCGAACTTCGGTGGTGAGCAGTTTTGCTGTCGTCCGATTCAATACCACACCTGACCTATCGGGGCCTTATTTGGTTCGTCACTCCAAGTCCCGGGGTTTGAGGTTATCGGTTTCCATCACTGAATAGCCGGTTCTTGTGACTATGGGACTTTCCCCGTCTACTGTTCATCACACTATGTAATAAAAAAATCTAGTTTTATCTCCGGTGCTAGCCAACATCTGATCAACATCCACCCACGTGACCTGATCTCTTACAGTCCTTGAGTCTGATCTAAACGGTTTACCGAAAATACTTACCTTGGTAAGTATTTTCGGTAAACCGTTTAGATCAGATCGTGGACCACATGCAATCCCAGCCAACCGGACAGACAACGGAGATCGCCTACTTCAACTGTGCACGGATCACGGATTGTTCCTGTCAAGCACGAACTTCTCG